CTTCTACCCATTTGGTAAAGTAGTCTATTGCTACTAAAATGAAGCAATGGCAATATGAAGACTTGGGTGAAATTTGTCCAATAACATCAATGTCCCACATAGAGAATGACCACAGAGTTGTCATCACTTGAAACGGATGAGAAGGGTTATGCATCATATCCTCATAAATATGACATCTGTGACATTTTCGGGCATAATTGAAATAATCAGTTTCCATGGTTGACCAATAATATACAAATCTCATAATTTGTCTAGCCATTGTATGTCCATTGGCATGAATACCACAAACTCCTTCATGTACTTCTTCGAGAATTGTTTTAGCTTCTTTGGTGTCCACGCATCTAAATAAGACTTGATCCAGATTTTTCTTGTATAGGATCTCACCATCGAGTACATATCATGATGCAATTCTTCTAATAGTTTTTTTATCATTCTCGGTTGTCTATTCAGGATAACTATGATATCTAATGTATTGCAAGATATCATGGTACCAAGGGTTTCCATCTTTTTCTTCTTCTTCTTCAATGTTAAAACAATTGGTTGGGTACTCATAAGCCTGCATTTTGATGGGCATCATGTTTGAATGCTCATTTACCTTAAATGTGGCTGCCAAAGTGGCCAAGGCATCTACCATTTGGTTTTCTTCTCTGGGGATGTAATTGAAGATTACTTCTTCAAATTCTTTGATAAGTTCCAAAACCAATTTACGGTATTCTACAAGCTTGAGATCTTTTGTCTCCCATTCCCCTCTAAGTTGGCAAATTACTAGAGTTGAATCCCCATATACCTTTAGCATTTTTACCTTACGTTCAATGGCAGCTCTAAGACCCAGGACACAAGTCTCGTACTCAGTCATATTATTTGTGCAATCAAAATTGAGCCGATTGATAATAGAATAATGCTCTCCATTCGGTGAGACCAATATTGGCCCAATCCCATGCCCCAATGCATCACGCGTGTTCCGAGTATAAATTTAATCATTCATATTCGAATTTAAATGGATTATAAAACCCTTCGGTTTTAATGGATGTGTAAATTCCTTTGGTAGCTATTGCATACCTATTCTACGAGAAGGCTGCCAAATTTAATTTAGTATGTTAAGTGAAAAAAATTAAAATCTACTTATCTATTTGAAAAAAAAAGTTTTTAAATTTAAATGGTTTTCTTTTAATTTCGAAAAAAATATATTAAAATATTTACTCATCAAGAATAATTGTAATTACTTTTAGTATTAGTAATCTTTTTAAAGACAACGTTAAAAACTATTTTTAACGTTACATTAAATATACAATTTAGGTTTTATTTTTAAGAGCATTTTTGTATTTGATTATTCATTTTAAGATAAAAAAACTCATAATATTTGTTTAAATAATCACTTTAGTTCTTATTTTTTTTAATAAAAGCTCATATTTAGAGCGCTGCATTTTGTTGGCTAACTATTTTCATCTATAAGAATTTTTTACCTAAAATTAAATGTTATGAACCTAAATGATAAAAAAATCAAAATGATTTTTTAATCAAACGTTGAAGATATTTTTTTTCATTATGTTTTTTTCAAATAAATTGTTATTTTAAATTTTAAGTTATATATATATATATATATATTAAACTTTTTTATTTTTAAGTTCTTGAATCGTCATTAAATACAGTCTAAGTCTGATTGATCAAGTTAGATAGAGTGACCCGACACATAGAGATCAGTAGAGAATAACATAGTGGGAAAAAATTAGGGTAAACTACAAGTTTAATACCTAAGTTATCAGTTTTATTTCTTTTAGTACTTAAACTTTCATTTGTTTCAAAATCTTACTTAATATTTACTTTTTGTTTCGTTTTGTTACCTCACCGTTAAAAGCCCGATTTTGGTCACTCAAATTTAATTTTTTTAATTTAATTACTTAACTTTCAAATTACTCTAAATTTAATCACTCTAACTTTCAAATTTATTTTTTTATTTCATTTATATATTAATAAAATAATAAAAAAAAATGTAATGTCACAAAAATTATTAATAAAATAAATTAGAGTGATTAAAACATGAGCAATTTGAAAGTTGAGTAGTTAAATTGAAAATTTTTAAACTTTAATGACCAAAATAAGAGTGAGAAGATAATTAAGTGATGAATTATATAATTTACTCATAAAAATGCCTGGTACAACAGTTCATTGAGATTTTAACGACAAACTATTAAAACGAAACAAAACATAAAAACCAAGTATAATTTTGAAACAAATAAAAGTTTAGATAGTAAAATATAATAAAACTGATAGTTTAAGTATTGAATATATAGTTTACTAAAAAAATCCAAAACTGAAGACATTGAGGAGTCTGTCGGAGATGTAGAAATAACAGATAGTCAGAGACTCAGAGTCAGTGTGTGACGTTACGACATCCAGCTTTTAACAAAAATTAAAAGGCTAAACTATGTTATTAGTCCCTATATATGTGTGAGTAATGTATTTAGTTCCAATACTCTAATTTCATCACTTTGAATCACTATAATTTTCAATTTTTTGAAATATCATCCCTGACCCAAACTATCATTAAATTTGTTAGATCAAATTCCTCTATCCGATCTTACTACGCACAAGTTTTATAGATTAAATATATAAAGTTATGTATAATATAGGGACTAATTATAAAATTTTACCAGAACATTTGAAAGTCCAAAAACATCTTTACCGGCCACCTTTCTCCTCTTCATATACTCTTTCGGTTTGGTTTATTGGGTGTTCTTATAGTTTGATTTCATTACATATTATTTTCAGCAAGAAAAATGGCTGCTGTCGCTTTGGACGATGTTCCTTCCGTTGATATCATGACCGAACTACTTCGCCGTCTCAAGTGCTCCTCCAAGCCCGGCAAACTCCTCATTCTCATCGGTTCGTTTCTTGGTTTTCGTTTTTCTTTTTGTCCTCGCTTTACATTCACCTGGATTTGCAGTGTGTTTCTTATTCAATTTATGATTATTTGGACACTTTCATTTGTCTGCTTTAGATCTGGTATAATCACAGTTTGTTCAAAGTTGGAGCCATTTTTTTCTTTCATGTCCTTAAATTTTTTGTAAGGCTCTGAAGTTTACAAATTTGTATATAACTTCAATGCTTTACGATGTCTTCGACCGAATCTTTCGTAGAGTGATAAAGGATTTGTATCGAGTCTTTGGCTCTGGGGATTCGATCCGATATCGATCATTGTCTGTTCCTTTAATGAACTCCAGGACCCCTGGGATCTGGAAAGGGTACACAATCACCCATGATTAAGGATGAGTACTGCTTGTGCCATTTAGCCACTGGTGATATGCTAAGAGCTGCTGTTGCTGCCAAAACCCCTCTAGGTGTTAAGGCCAAAGAAGCTATGGATAAAGTAAATTCCTTTGTTTTCCCCCATAGGATATCGAGTTTCAAATTGTTGATTATTCGTCTAATTGCGAATGTTTAATATTGGGGTGAACTTGTCTATGATGATTTGGTGGTTGGGATTATTGATGAAGCCATGAAGAAACCCTCATGCCAAAAAGGTTTCATCTTGGATGGTTTCCCCAGGACTGTGGTTCAGGCACAGAAGGTGCTGTTTATTGGCTTTGAATATACTCTTTTGGTCTTTCATCTTTAACAATCTTTGGTTGTCTTTGATATACAGCTTGATGAGATGCTTCAGAAGTAGGGAACTAAGATCGACAAGGTGATGAACTTTGCAATCGATGATGTAGTATTGGAGGAGAGGATCACCAGTCGATGGATTCATCCTTCTAGTGGCCGAACCTACCACACGAAATTTTCACCTCCCAAAGTTCCCGGTGTCGATGATGTAGGTTTTCTTTTTCTTTTTTTTTCTTTTTTAAATGGTTATTGATACTGAATGAATCTGCAAGCTCTATTACATTAGAATGCATGGACTGATTGCTCAACTAACTGTGACGATCACCGATGTCCTTAGAACTCTTGTTTATGCCTCATACGGATCGATGCTAGGGAATTTACCTCCATCAATATCATGTTCGTATTGATTAAGATAATTTTCACTGCATATGTAAGAAGGGTATGCTGATTGTATGGTTGTTGTTTCGAGATATGATGATGCACTCTCAATGCTCTGCTTGTTCGTTTACTGCACTGGACCTATGAATCATTATCATAGATCTGCTCACTTTAAAATGTAAACATTCGTAATTTCACGTTCGATTGCGTGTCGGTTCGTACTTTGTGATGTATTTCTACTGCAAGAGTCTCAAGTTCCGGATTTTTCACCCTTTTATCTCGTGTTGTTCTAACTGTTTTCACTGAAGGTCACTGGGGAGCCTTTGATTCAAAGAAAAGATGACACCTCTGCAATTCATCGACCCCTCTAGTCGTTGCAATTCACCGAGTGATTAATAAATGGCCTTCGATCTCCCATTATTCAGTTTCATGTTTTCTGTTTCTTCATTTCGCACGGTGATCTTATAAACAAAGTCTGACCGGTTGGCTACGTGCAGCTGATCGATTACTACGACAGCAAAGGTATTCTTGCCAATCTTCCTGCAGAGAAACCCCCAAAAGAGGTCACTTCTGAGGTTCAAAAAGTCCTTTCTTCATAGGACTTGATCCTTCATCTCTTACTTTTCTCCAAAACTTTGTAAACCGTTTCGAATTAATCCGACACATTGTCGGAAAACCGGAGCTCACATGTCGAAAATAAGCATTTTGCTGGATTTGTGAGCCCAAGAGGGATTTTTGCTACAAAATAATGGTTTACTACAGATTTGGTAGTAACATTGAAGTGATTTTCTGATATATGGTCAATGGCCTTGTTTTCTCTTTTTCCCTTTTCATATGAAAGTGATTAATTTCAAGATTTAGAGTTTAAAGTTTAGGGTTTGTGAAAAAAGCGAACTGCAGCATTCTTCACTAAGAGCATAACACAATTTGCAGAACTGTACGTCTTACATGATTTTATGGAATGACACGCCGTGCCCGCAACATGACATAATAGAGTGCAGAAAATAATCATCATGACTGCAATTTTTTTTCTGCAGTAAATCACATCCATATAAATCCAAAGGTACATACATGCATGCATACATACATATGTAGGTAGAAGAAGGATTGAATGCAGATTTGGCATTGAACTTTGGGAATCTGCAGAGTTACTACCAGCAAAGGGAAGGCAACTTGAAGGAGAATGAAGAAGGAAAATGACCAGTTCTCCTTATGTAATCCGCCCTCTGTGAAGTCCTTATAGCTTTCTCGTTTAGCTTTGATTCTGCATTTGCAAGTTTCTCTTCAGCTACTCTCCTTGTGGCTGCTAGTTTGTTTGCGCACCTTTCTTTTGCCCGAGCTCTCAATCTCTCCGCTTTCACCTATAACCCCATAAAACACCATTTGTAAGAATGTTTTGGTAAATATTTCAAAGCCTATAGATATTCCTCAAGATTTGGGATTCGAATCTCGTGGATATAGTCGAATCCCTTGCGGCTACCGGGCGAAGTCTTTAGACAAAAGAAGTAATCTAGTGTGTCATATCCATGGATCTAGCTAATGGGCTACCTCTATTTTCTTCATTTCCAATTCAGCTTTCCTCTTTTCATGATTTTCCCATGCCTGTATCTTCACTTCTTCACGCTTATACCTACAAAGCAACAGCTTATCATATCAGCTAGTGCTTTATCAGAGAAGGAACACGTTAGCACATTACCTTGCCATATATTTGGCACGTTCAGCTTCATCCCAAGCCATAGCTCGAGATTCCAAACTACTCTGCTTACTAGCTTGACCTGATTCTTGTCCATCGAGTCTGTTCGAACCATTTCCCTCAGCAGCAACATTAATTCCCGAGGCAGCTCGATTTCCTTGTTGGCACCTGAGCGGGGTCGAAGATCCTGAAGAAATAGGACTCGTTGCAGTAGGAGTGGTGGCTCTTAACGGTGTTGTAGTTCTCGACGGCTCTTGGCTTGCAATAGGGGTCATCTCGGTCCCCATATCTCTCACGCATATCGATCGAACACCCGAAACCGAGTTCCAAATAGCCAAATTAAGACCAACCCTTTGTGTTTCATCCTCACTGCTCGGATAATTTTGTTCCTGTTGCGGGCAAGGAGCTATGAGCCTTGTATCATCGGCGTTTGAGTCCCGAGGCTTGGCTTTGGATTGCGCCTTTTTGTCTCGACTCCTCGACAGCCCCACTAGCCATTTCTGCGCATCGTCCCATTTCGAAGGCGTCGTCGGTTGCTTCCCCAAGGCGGGACGATGAAACTCAAAACTTATGGCACCGCCATTGCTGCTTGAAATTTCATTAGCTGGTCCGAGGCTATAGCAAGTTTTATCTTCAACGGATCTCATTTTTTCTAACACACATAAACCAAATCCCAAAGCAAAGTTGAGGTCTTAGCCTCAGATTTGAGAATCTTTGAGCCTGCTAAAGGCTCCAATGCGACAAGTACACAGAGAAAGCTTCAAGCTTATCTTTTACAAGCAACTAAACTAGAGAAAACACAAAAATGGAAAGACAGTAGTACACAAACAGGAATGCCTCTAAGATTTACTTTCATAGGAACATTAAAGCAAAGGGCCCATCCCCTTCACGTGTGGGATTTTATCCCATAAGCTTAACTAATCACCATGTTTAAAACACTAGAACTATCCATGGAAGCTTAATGATTTCACAGACTAAAAGAGGCAACTGGTTTTTTTTTTGGGTAGAAGAAACGTCATGTAACAGTGTAACAGAGAATTATGGGTTAAAAGCATGGATCTTTGTGACGCATTTGCCAGAGCTAAAGATGAAATTTTCAGAGTTTTCAGAGCTTCAGATCCATTGAACATTAAAATATAGTGAAAGACAAATGCTTTGCGTTGCTGGAAACTCGGACCAACCAAAGACCAAATGTAACTAGGACCGGCATGGGAACCGAATCCGACTCGATCGGTTATTTTTTTAAAAAAAAATAAAGTTCAGGTCGAATTGGATTAAATTCGAATTTAGAGAGAAAAATACTCAACTCAATCCAACATCAGAAAAACATATAATTTTATCTTTTTATATTTATGCATAATTATAATAATACCCTTCTATATATTATTTTTTCAATTAAATTTTTATTTTTATTAAATAAAAATAATATTTTTAATAAATATATTATTTTAAGCCGGGTCAAGTTCATATTCTATCTAAAAAATCGGGTCGGATTCAGGTCGAGTTGATGGTGTATAATTTTTTGGTCGGGTCGAATTCCAATGGAGGATGTATACTTTTTGAATCGGGCCAAATTGATCGAAAATCCGATCTGACCCGACCCATTTCCATTTCCATCCCTATTAATGGTGAAAATCATATATCTAATAAGGAGGACGATATTTTAGGGTAAAATACATCCCAGGTCACTTTATCATGATTTTGGTTATAAATAGGTCATTATTCACTAAAATTTACAATTTAATCAATTAAAATATCGTTACAAACATATCACTCTATTAAAAATGAAACGGAAGTCTAACCTGACTTGATAAAATACTAAATTTAATTATCAAAATTTATATATTCTATTAATTTGGTATTAATTTAAAAAAATTAATAAAAAAAGTAACCTATTTAAAAATTACTTCAATTTAATCATTTTTACGATATCATCAAACCACGTGAGACATCGAATGAAGGCAACAATTAGATAATTGCATTCTACTATAAAACAACAACAAGTTACTGATAAAAACTTTCTATCAATTGGGCTAGGGATATATGTAAGATTTTATGTTAGGGGAACGAACTTATAAAATTTTAGGAAGAGTGAAAATACATTATTAATAAAAAATAAAAATAAAACCTAAGATATATAAAAATTTGAAATTTTTAGGGGTGGTCGTCCCCACCCGTTCTTAATTATTGACCATGTGGTCAAAAATATTTATGTTATCTCACATCGTGTGAGTTCGAATTTTAGCATTGTCATAAAAATACAATATACCTCTATTTAATAAAAAAAAATAAGATTAGTATAAATATCAAATTGTATACCAAATAATCTAAGTAAAGAATACAAATGGTCCCCGACTACGAGGCATTACTTTATTAAGTTTTTCGACTATTAAAAGTTATAAAATAATCACTCGACTATTTATATGTTTCAAATTTGTTCTTTTTCGTTAAAAATCGACGCTCGTCTGAGCTAGACATTAACATGTTGATTAAGATATGATAAAATTATATTTTAATAATGTTTATTGACACTGTCATTGCTTTCATGCACTGGTTCCATGATATAATGTTTAAAGCATTGACTCGACGACAAAATAATGAATATTTGATCCTCAAAATACATCTCAAACAGTTATGAGATGAGATTTTATTATATTTTAGTCAACATATTAAAATCCAGCTCTGTGATTAGTTTGTAATAGATGAATAGTTTAGTAACTATTTTATAATTTTAAATAGTCAATCAACCATTTATATACTTTATCCATAATTTAATATTAAGATCGGGGAGAGGAGTGAGAGATGAAAATGTGGGAGTGTGTCGGGACAGGCGGGAAATAGAGGTTTCATAATGGGGCTGTTCTGAAATCATTCACGTGCCTGGAATGGCCCCTCGTCTGTGAGTTATTTAAATTAAAAATTGACTGTTGGCGTAAATGTCAGTTAAATTTTGGATAAAGTATACGAGGGGTCACTGAATTATATATAAAATAATTATTAAATTCATCAAATTATTATAAAACAGTCACTACAATGTTATAATAAGTGAAAATGGTTTGATAAAATTTATGACCATTTTGTAATTGTTTGATAAAATATAATGATCATTTTATGATAGTTTGATAAAATTTAATCATTGATTTATTTTGGTTTAATAAATTTAATTAGGGGTGAACAAAACTCGATTTGAAAAAATGAGACTTAAATTTTATAAATTTGAGTCGATTTGAATTTTTTTGTAAATAAATTTTGAATTATAAAATATGACAAGTCAACTCACTTAACTCAAATTATTTAACTTAATTCAACTCGACTTGATTGAATACCCACCCCTAGTTTCTCCTTCATTTTAAGTTTATTTTAACTAAATTTGAATCATATAGATCTCTTCCATTATAGATATCTATGTAACTTTAATTCTTATTTTAACAATATTTTTTCTTTCTTTTTCTAAATTAGTCACTCAACTTTATATTTTATTCAATTTAGTTTTTTTATTGTAATTTTTTACAAATTTTTATTCTCATCAATTCTTTGACTTATCTATGACTTCATCAATACTTTATTATCAAAATATTTCTTTTTCAAAAATTTATAAATATTTTTTATAATTTTATATGCATTTGATTTATTAAATAATATTGTAATGTGAAAAATGAATATGAAGAAATGTGTATGATTTTATATAGTTGGATAAAGTCATTAAATTGGAATCAATTTGTACCATAATTTTATAAATAATTATAATTAAATTTGAACAAAAACTCGAATAACTCATCAATTGATTAACTTGAAATTTTTGACTCAATTTGATTAAATACTCATCTCTAAATTTAATAATTATTTAATAATTTTTAAAAGTTAAATGATCAAAATAATCGTTTTAATAATATATAATGTACCTTATCCTACTTGAGTATTAGATTTTAAGATAAAGTACGCAAATGGTTTCCGGCTATATGATATTGTTTTGTTGAGTCATTTCACTATTAAAAGTTATAAATGTGTCTCTTAACTACATAGTATTCTTCTATTAAGTCCTTTGACTATTAAAAGTTACAAAATGATCAATTACCTGTTCATATATTCCAAATTGGTCATTTTTCATAAAAAAAAATTAATGATCGTCTAAGCTGAATGTTAACTTGTTGAATGGACATGATAAAATATGATCCCATAACTTTTTGAGCTGTATTTTATGAATAAACTCATCATTTACATTATGTCGTTGAACTAATACTTGAAAACAATGTGGTGCCAATAAACATCATTAAAATATGATTTTATCATATCTTAATCAACATGTTATCGTCCAATTCAGAGGACATCAATTTTTTAATGGAAAATGACGAGTTTGGAAAATATGAATAGTTGGTATAGTTTTCTATAGTTGGAGGACCATTTTGTAATTTTTAATAGTTAGAAAACTCAATAAAATAATACCCTATAGTCAAGGGATCATCCGTGTATTTTACCCTTTTTTTATTAGATCCGTACTACTAGCTTTAACTTGTCTTTTGGGGGGATATTTAATGCTTATAATGTATTTGGATTGTATTGGGTAGTGAAGAAATTAATGGTAGCAGTTGTATTCCTATCGAGAGAATTTAAGTTTGGATTTGAAATAGATAAGAAAGATATTAAAAAATACAAATTTCAAAAAAATATATTACAAAATTTTATTTACAAAAAGCTATAGATAAAAATAAGTCAAAATATAATGGAAGAAGTCAAAATCTGTCTTTCTTTTTTACTTATTCAACCGGATCTCAATTTTTTTTTTCAGTTTAGTATATATATGATAGAAGTAAATTTTTTAACATTATGATTCAAAGGTAGTATATGTATTTAATTTTAAAATTAGATAAATTTATGTATATTTATAGATTAAATTGTTTGAGTCTAGATTCACCTAAAAGAAATATATGATATTCCATTCAACCGAAAATTTTAATTTTTACAACCTTGCACTTTAGCTTAAAAAATAATATAAATTATAGTTATTTAAGTAATTAAATTATCAAAATATATTTACCTAATTGCCTCCATTCATTGTTTTTATAGGTGGCCATGATATAGTATTAGGCTCTCCTAACATGTTTAATTTTGATTTTATTCCAAACCCCCCCCCCCCCCACCATAGGGCTTAAGTTGTTCATTCAATTATTACAGTGCCATCGGAAGAGACAAAACACTTTAATATAACAATTTTCACTCATATTTTTAAAGCTTTTTTCGATATGTCGTCTATGATTTCAGGTTTAAATTCGTTCGAATAAATCAAATGATATTTAAGTAAATATACACGTGGAGTTCAAATTTTCATCATCAAACTATTTTTTATTTAATCGGCAACATTATAAAAAATAATCATTTTGGTTCTCCATTATTAAATAGTTAATAGAATTGCTTACATGTCTCATTTTTCGTTTGAATTAATCACTGATATCCGATCTGTTGACCGACTAATCCAAATCGGGTACTGCAAAGGCGAGGACGACCCTCCTAACCCAGTTTGCTCTATTCGCAAACGACATTTCTCATTTTTTAATTGACATAATAAAAATTTTATCCCCCAACATTACGTATGCCATTAAATTTGATCCTTGTTTTAAATATTTCAACAATTCAATCCCCAATATGAACAAATTATATTCGTTTAATCCTCAAAACACATTTGCATTTGAATTCAAACATATGTCAAACCACTAATTTTAATCTCATTGTATCTAATTTCACCATTTCAAATATACATACTCATCAAATATTCACACTCGAATCTGAATAACACAACACATATCCGACAGAAGTATCGCGCAGAAACAATCATTATATTTCATCATATTAAAGCAAGTCCCATGGTTCCATATACATGTATTGTACTAAAAATGAAGATGCTAATGGTTAAAGTGAATTGAAGGTAATCCCAAAACCCAAAGTTAACAGCATTTCATCATTAGGCATCTGATACTTAGAATTCAAATCTCAGAAATCTCCAATGAGGCCAAAAGATATTCAAATTGAGGTTCTTTTCGTGTAGCCAGTACAAGTTCAACCGTTCGAAGCTGTTCATTGAATGCTATCTATCTATGATCTACAACAAGCATCAACCTTACCTAGCAGCCGCCAGCATAATTAAATGACCGGTGGCTGCTGTAATAGCACCAAGCAATCCACCAGCAATAACCTGCAATTGAAATGGAATGTTAAAAGCATAACTCTTCCATATAAACAACTATCTATGATGACCTAGCAGTGTCTGACATTATCTGAAACGACGACAGAGATTGTTTCTCTTTAGGAACTCGGTTTTTAACTTCCGAAACTTTTAATCTAAAATGTCAATAACGGAAAAATATAAACTCAGATTGCTATAGCAATTAGTTGCAGTACATTAACTTGGACATTGTTCTTGAAAAACATAATTACTCGAGATAATATATTCTCGATCAATTAGCAAAAAGTTAAAGATACCTGGGGAGGAGTGTGACCGAGAAGTTCTCGTAACGGTCTGCTCTCAGCCAGAGGATGTTCAGCGGGTAATTCACAAACAATTTGGTTTAAGACCTGAAGAACACAAGGTTTTGGAACTGAATACATGAAAGATATCAAGTTGATACCAAGTGGTTAAGCATCTCAATGCCAATTTCCAAAACATCCAACTACTAGGAAACACTAGCAAGGGACATGGAGGAAAATTTTCTTTGGTGAAGACAAGGTATGGGATACTTAGAGCATAAAAGCAATGGAATCGAACCTGTGCCTGCCGGCCAGCATGTAATCTCACACCGGTTGCATCATACATTACCTGCAAATCAAATCCACCCTATCAAAACTCAATCCGCAATGTAGGCAATATCAATGACATTAGATGCATATTCACTGAATAAGCCATATAATACACTTTTCTCATGTATCACAAGTCGATATTAGGAGAAAACTCAGATTAGCACTAGCAGAAACAAAGAAAGCAAATAATTTGGAAATTGAAGTCCTCAGGCTTTTCAATTCTACATTATCCTACGTACATACATATATGTAATCTTTAAAATAAGAAACAAGAGATCATACAATGGTTGCTAAAATCAATGCAGTTGCAAATATTGCTCCTCCAAAGCCTTCTTGGACCCCGACCGCGGCAGCGAGAGCAATAACTGTAGCAGAATGTGATGAAGGCATCCCACCAGATGCTAAAAGTTGCTTGAAATCACATCTTCTTTCCTTATACCTGCAAATCTAGGAAAACCTTAAGACCCTCAGGAGAAAACTAATTACAAAGTAGCAAATACCCATATATGATTTTTTTTCTATAAGCTTGTCAAGTATCTAAGCTTTTCTCATCAAATTATCCGGTTTGAGTACCCAAAATGGTTGCTTGAACCAAAATTGTCTTCACATTCCTAACGAACAGCTAGAAATTGGATTATGAAAAAGAGTAAAAAAAAGAAAGCTCGAAATGCTCATGATCACAGAATAGGCACAGAACCAAGGCAACAATTGACCAGAAATACATTTCAAAGACAACCCAAGGATTCAAGAAAATACATGTGATGTTATTTAGAATTTATTCCCAAACCAGATCATATCAATTATCATCACGACTACAGATCTTCAACTCAAAACAGATGTAAAGGCTACATCATTTCATTAATAATGCAAAACAGCAATTACCCATTTCAAAACTCGCAGCGAGAAGTCCATTGAAAGACAAAAAACCAAAAACAATGCCCAAATCTTGCAACATGAAAAGAAAAAGAAATACGGCAAGAACAAACAGAGATTTTAAGATTCATTGAAAAGACAGAGAGAAAGAGATACCAGGAGGTGAAGAACTTGATGGATTGGGCAATAGCGAAGGCAAGAAACGCAGAGATGAGAGGGTAGTTCGTGAAGAAGGAGGAAGAAGACATTGGTGAAAGACAATAATAAGAATGTGTGTGCGTCTGTGGGGGATACTCTGAATCAAAGCCACTGATGTAGTTGTAATTCCGTACTTGTTTAGAAGACGAGAACAAGAAAGCAAAGAAAGAGTAGGTCCTTGTTGTGATGAAGAAGAAGAGCAGATTAGGTGGCGAAGTTCAATGAATTGAATTCCTTCCTGGAAGCAGAAAAAGAGAAACAGAAGTACCAAGTAAATGCTTTGCTTTGCGTTGCTTGTTTATTATATAATGAAGTATGTTGGTTCCCAGTGTTTAACGTTATGATATTTTTATTAATGATATTAAATTTTATGATATAATATTAATAATAAAAAATGTATTATAAAAGTTTTTTTTTGAAAAAAATATTTTTAAAATTATGAAAATAATAAAATATTTAAAATAAAAACAAAATTATATTTAAAAATAATTGACTAATCTTACTCATTTTTCTCTAATCAAGTGCTCATAATTTCATTTATTTTTTTAGTATAAAATCACGATTTTTTTTATCATTTTTATTTTGTTATACTTAATTTGAATAATTTTTTAAAATTGTTTAAATAAATATGTATATTTAATATTAAAATTAATATTTCAATTGACATGATATCATTGGATTTTACTTTAAATTCCTATTTATATTTTATAAAAACGAAATTTTAAATATTTATCTAATTTTTAATATATTTAGTATAAAATTATTATTTTATCTAATTTTTAACCATTTATAAAATGATATCATCATTTATAAATAAGTTATTATTAAAATTTGATCGATTTAATTATTTATCTGAAAATATTTCTTGATATAAGAATTACTTTGGCTAAAAAAATTAAAAGAGGTTTGATTTTTTGAAAAAAACAAAAATTAAAAGATATTTTTTTATTTTTTTAAGAATAATATATTTAGCTTTTTTATATTAAATATTCATATATAATTATTAGGGGAAACTTTTTTAATAATGTGAATGAAAAAAATCGTAAAATAACGTGATTTTAAAATTATTTATTCGAATAGAATATTTACTACAATATTGATGAGAGACCCACGGTGTTTTTTCCGAAAAATCATCTTTTTAATTTAATATTCATGATCAGACATCAGTTAGACTATATTTCCCGATCGAACGTATTTTGCAGTAAGGCGCACCCCCTGCACCGCGCTATACATTGATTTGGCACCACGTGGGGTAAGGCGACCCCCTGAGGCGTGCCTTATGCTGACATGGATGCACGAGTGTATGGCGCGGGGCAGGGGCCGCGCCTTACGCCACGTAAGATATAGCGCGGGACAAGGGTCACACTATTCAATTATCTCAATTATCAAACATGCATCATGAAAGGCGCAGTGCAAGGACCGCGCCTTGCATTATTTTCCCAAACTTCTCGGCTTTAAGACATCCTCTCTCAACTATAAATAGTCGTCTCCCGTAAACTCTCTCACCAACAATCCTTTGAATAAGTAAATAACATCCGACAATCATCTTATATTTAATTCAGAAGTTTGCTCGATCTTTCGATATAAGGTAATTTTGTTATAATATTTATTTTATAGTTATATATGATTATTTAAAAAAATATTATACTAATTGTTTTCAATTAATGTATGTGTTTGTAGAATTAGAAAGTAGGAGCATACGTCGAAATATTTTTGCGGTGCAGGTAATAATATAAAATTATATTATTTAAATTATTTACGTTTATGTGTAAAAAATTTATTCTGTTATATTTTTGGTCATATATTATTTATTTAATCATGTTTATTTCAGTTGTTTATTATGATGGAGAAATTCGAGAAGATGAAACCGGTGTTGTATTCGTATCAAACGAGCGTGTTAAAATATCATTCAAGAGAAACATAACTCTTGAGAAGCTGATAACGAAGATTTCGAGGAAGGTTCATGTTGGAAGTAGTAGAAGAATCTCATCGTTGCAGTACAGATTTCCAACATCATTGTTGCCATTAATTTACACAGCGTTCGAACTATCGAACAATGATGAAGTTGAAATGATGGCTGATTCTCAAAGTAATTATTCAGACGACGATATTGAGATGTATGCAAAGTTTGTTCAAGTGCGTGCTGTTCGGGGTCAGCCATTAAGCTCACACTATGGGCTGGCTGAACAAGTTGATCAAGTTGACAGCCCGACTACAGTAATGTGTAATGATTTTAATGCCATAATGGGAAATCCACATCATGGTGCCGGCACATAAAATTCAATGGGGAGACATTCATCTGCAACTCCTTACGATATGTATCGAGGTGGGTCCACGAACAATCCGTATGGCAACATCGTGTCCATTCCGAGGGAAAGACATTCGTCTGCAAATTTCTTTGACCTTAATATGGAGATGCCATCGACGCAACAATCTGTGCAGTTTCCATTTGACACGATGGCTTCAAGCTCTAGGGGGACGCATTCGACTGCGAGCTTTTTCGATCTCAATCCAGATATGCCTTCTAGTTCAAGGGGAAGGCGTGCAGTAGTAGGTTATTCGACCTAAATGTGGAGAGCATGGAGGAACCATCATCTCCACCAGAAGAACCGCTTCGTGAGCCTGGTGCGGATAGTGCTGAGACTGGACTATTCATTCACCTAGAATCACCACAATTCAACTCCGATAGTGATGATGATGTAGATGAAGTTCCAACAAATGTGGCACAAACTGACCCTCCAACACACATGTATGAAACTGATTATGATGCAATGTATGGGCCAAAATTTGCGGATATGCCTCATCTCGGTGACTATGGATATTTCTCATCAATAAATAATGGTGAGTTATCTTTAGGCATGGAGTTTTCAAGCAAGGAAGAAACGATGATGACTATAAAAAATTACAATATCCGTAATTATGTTCAGTCCAGAGTCGACCGCTCCACGACCGAAAAATATGTATGCTACTGTGCCCGACGCGAAAACGGATGCAGTTGGATGGTTCGTGTATCGAAGAGGAAAAGGAAAAACAACAGATGGGAACTAACAATATATAACAGTCCTCACACATGTTGTGCTGGAAGGGTCAACCAAGATCATCCCAACTTGGACTCTGAAGTGATATGTCAAGCCATCATGCCCATGATAAAAGCAAGCTCTCATATAGCTGTTGATGTGTTGATTTCAGCTATACAATCGCAGTATGGGTACAATGTCTCCTATAAAAAAAGCTTGGTTGGCAAAACAAAATGCCATTGTAAAACTTCATGGCGAATGGGATGCATCTTACAATGAACTTCCAGGCTGGTTTAGGCTGGTGTGGAGGTTGAATCCTGGGACAATTGTAGACTTCGAAACCTCCTATGCATACCATAATGATCGAGTTCTCTGCGATCGATGCCAATTCTACCGGGTTTTTTGGACTTACCCACAGTGCGTTAATGTTGTCAAATACTGCAAGCCTGTGGTCTAGATCGACAGGACTTTCTTGTATGGAAAATACAAGCAAGTTTTATTATTGGCAGTTGTCTAAGATAACAATCACAACATTCTTCCAGTTGCTTTTGCTCTTGTCGAAGAAGAAGATACAGTTTCTTGGGATTTTTTCCTCTGAAATTTACGTGCACGTGTTATCACGAGGGAAAACATCTGTGTCATTTCAGATCGCGGAGTTGGGATCAAAGCAGCAATGAAGTCTTTGGGTCCAATGTGACAACCACCCTTTTTCCAACATAGGTATTGTCTCCGACACATTGCTGCGAACTATCATGGAAGGTACAAGAAGAATGATGAGCGTTAATTAATTGTGCGCATTGTAAGTGAAACTGATGTAGTTTGTGTAACACCCCAACCCGTACCCGACCCGAATACGTGTCTGAGGTATCACATTGACTTTTCAAACCTTGACACTTAAAGAAAACCCCCGGGGAATTTAAAACTTTTTTTAAAACAAAATATTTTAATTTACATAAAAGAGACCACAAAATACAAACTCAATCAGAGTGCTCATAATTAACGACTTATTACATGCCAACACTTTATACACAACAAAATACATACTTTGTCGATTACTTCTGATCTGATCTTCTAGTAATAATACTGTCCTTGCCACTTCTATTCTTGCTCTTCACGTTTCTTGGTACCTACGTGTAAATCACTTACACGCTAAGTCATAGACTTAGTGAGGCAATAAATAAACATGTAACAGTAGATTCATGAATATGCATTCTTACCATTTGAACATGATATTTCAATATGCATGTATATATTTCGTATGACATATATAATCAAGTCATACACACATGAAACATGCCTTTTTGCATCACTTCCACTTTAATTTATATTTCAATTGCTGTTGTTATTGCCCATGTATATTATTGAGAATAGAGGTATGTGAGTACATTGAGGTTGTGCACCAATGCTGTCACCACAGCTCATATAAATTCCCTCATGGGGTACCGAACATTTGTTCAGTATTCGTCCCGAAGGACTGCTATATATGTCCCGTAGGACCACTACGTCCCGAAGGACTACAATACCCTCGACTCTTGGCATGCCAACTATACCTATAACTCTCGTATCATATACTATGGGCATTTACGATGAATACTTTTCTCATCACTTTTTCTTTCTTTTCTGTCACATACCACATGTATGTGTAACCATGTATTTCATATCATATCACATGTATCACGTATTGCATATTCATATATCATTTCATTTATTCACATAACTTATCTCATTTCACATTGATCATGTCTCATAGCATATATCACATATTCATATAATCATGTATATCATATCATATATCTTATGTTTTATGCTCTTATGTCTATGCATATCATATAACATATATAATATCCTATACCCATTTCATGTATTCATGCACATATAAGAATCACAAATCAAATAACATTTTAAGAGTCACTTCTTACCATAGTAACTCCATCACTAGCTCATCGCAAGCCAATGTTCAATAATATAAGTACAATTAAAATTGCACTCACCTTAGCCTTGTTTGATTTGAATCAATTCTAATCCTTTGATTATTCCAGAACTTGTTTAGGCTCAATATCTACATAAATATATAAT